TAACCAAGGAGCGAGCCGTGGAGAAAGGGCGGATCCCCGGGCCGGGGGTCGGACGGGGTGACGGCCCCGGTCGCAGCCTCAGGTGGGGCCCTTGGGCCCGGGGTGGGGGTGGGCCGGGGCCGTGGCCTCCCTGCCGCGCTGGCCCGCAGGGGATTCCTGCACTGGTTCTCTATCAGACAGTAGGTCCCCGCTTTGAGTTTCCACAGGTGGAAACCTGCGTGTGCACGTCCAGCCCGTGATGAGTCCACATGTCTGGTGTGCGTTGTCCCGGGCATGCACCCTCTGCACGTGGCTGTGCCTTGCGTGCCTTGCCGCCCAGCAGTGTGGAGGTTGGCAGCACACAGCACGCAGGCCCCTCGGTACGGAGGCACAGTAAGGGTTAAAGGGAACAAACTCACAAGAGGGAAGTAGAAATTTACACACCCCCCAAACTCTGATCACCCCGGGGCCAGCCAGGGGGTCAGTGTGCGCCCCAGCCCAACCTGGCAGTACCCCGTACTTACAGGGCCCCAGGTCGGAAGCAGCTCCGCGTCCACGTACGGAGGTTCCCCGTTTGAAGAAGTAACCGTCTCAGGAAAAGCTCAGCCGACTCTCAGCTGAGCTGAACCAAGCAGACGCGCAGAGGCCGTCCGTGCTCAGCCCTCCAAGACGAGGCAGGCGGAGCCTCCAGGCCACCCAGTCCCCCAGGTCAGGGCACTGCCAGGCCCCTGGGCTCACCCACTGTGCCAGCTCTCCCCACCTGTCCTGACTGATGTGCAGGGCGGTGATCCCGCCGAGAGTCAGGCTTCTGGTCTGGGACTCATGGACATGACGAGGAGTTCTCGTGATGGGTCACCGCCTGGGATGATGGTGGAGGCTGCCTGGGGCTGTCCGGCCCAGACGCACTGGAGGAGGGAGCGTTTCTCAGTCCCCATCGGCCCCCTCCCACCTTCCATCCTCTGCCTTCGTTTGCTCAACCGCCTGAGACTGATCGTCCCCCCTAGGGCTGCACCAGTCTACCTACCCATGTGTGTGTGAGTGTGTATACGAGCGCGCGCGTGTGTGTATGCACCACCTGCGTGTTTTCCAGAGCAGTGAGTTCCACAGTTGCTGTACTGTCATTACAAGGCACCTCCAGGGCCAACGAGGGTGGCCGGGGACTGCCCGAGGCAGCCAGCGTCCAAGGCTTTCCAGGTGTCTTGGCTCTGCCAAAGCGCCAGCCAAGGCCTTTAGCGTCCAGTCCCGGATGACAGGTAAGACGCTGGTGCCGGTCCACCGGGCTGGGTGAGTGTGCTAGTCTGCTCTTCGGCAGGAGCAGCCCGGAGGTCAGCCCGCCGTGAAGGCTGGCGCCACCACCCACCTCCACTCGAGCTGTTTCCCTGGTAAAACAGGCACCTTTCCAGGTGCTGAGTCTCACAGGCAAGACCCCAGCCCAGTAATTTACCACATGTCTGTGTGCTCGATTGCTCAGTCGTGTCTGACTCTTTATGACCCCACAGACCGTAGCCGGCCAGTCTCCTCGGTCCATGGGATTCTCCAGGCCAGAATACTGGAGTGGGTCGCCATTTCCTTCTTCAGGGGATCTTCCTGACCCAGGGACTGAACTCAGGGCTCCTGCATTGGCAGATGGGTTCTTTACCACTGAGCCACCAGTGAAGCCCCAGTGATGTCTTAGGCAAAGGTATTAATAATCTGAGAGTGGGGAGAAGGTCCGCTGTGTATGAAATGATGCTGGCCTTTGCAGCCCAGGAGAGCTCATAGCAGGAGGCTTCATTTTCATGTCATGATGGAACTCTTTGGAATTTCTCTCATAACATTGAAATTTGATTACAAGAGGACCTTTATCAGGATAAGAATGCTGGATCAGATAGTCTTCACTATGAGGCAATCTGTCTTCCACGGTATCTCAGAAAAAAGACAAAGGCTCACACCTGAAGGCACGGGGACAATGACCAGAGGAGTGTATGGCCAAAGAGTGCAACAGGCCCTGAAGCGGAAATGTTCATCGCTGAGTCATATCCAACTCTTTGGGACCCCAAGGACTGCAGCCTGCCAGACTCCTCCGTCCATGGGATTCTCCCAGCAAGAATACTGGAGTGGGTTGCCATTTCGCTCTCCAGGGATCTTCCCGACCCAGAGATCAAACTTGGGTCTCCTGCATTGCAGGCGGGTTCTTGATCATCTGAGCCACCAGGGAAGCCCCAACGGGCCCTGAGGTGGCCGGAAACAGTAATTCTGTGAGATCGGTCTACTCTCTTCTGGATGACTTCCAAGGCTGCTGGCTGGAGGAGTCCACTGAAAGTTGGCATCTGTCTAGCTAGCTAGCTGATAGTGGGTTTACTGTTTTTTAAATGAATTAAGCAACAGATATTTACAATTTTTTAAAAACTTCACACCTCCATGATGCTGCATGCCTATCAAAACACCCCAGGTGATTCCAAGGCTGACTTGTGCCCTAGGGCCTGAGATGGTTCCTGGGTTTTGGTATTTACATCTGGCGCACTGGTGAGTAAAGTCCGAGTTACCGTGAAAGCGTGGGCGGCTGTGTGTCCTGTCGGCTCTGCGGGTGACCCGCTGCACACCTAGGGTGAAGAGCCCCTGCCTTCACGGGCAGCAGCAACAAATGCCCTGCTGGCTCTGGGCACCCCCGGGCCTGTTGTTGGATGTCATCCCTCCTTCCCAGAAGGTCCTGGTTCCCTCTTCCTTTCCACGGGTTTCGGGAACAGCATAACATGAGGAAACACCCTGCTTTGAGCTGAGGGACCCTTTGCACACGGCCGTGACGGAATCCAGACACATCCGGCTCCCGGAGGCCGGCGGTCTGTCCCGGGTCCCCGACGAGTCTGCCCCCTGCCCTCTGCTGCTCTGCGCAGAGCTGCGTCTGCTCCCCCCGGGAACAGACATGAACATGATTTCAGAGGGCGGTGCTCCGACGGTTGGGGGACAAACGGACCACCAGCCCCGTCCCCGCAACGCCACGTGCTCTCAGCCCAGCTCCACCCAGGGGGCCGTGGGCGCGCTTTGGGAGGCTTTGGGAGGCGGGGAGCCCGCTGTAACCTTGTGCACACACAAGGGCCGTCACGGGCCGGGGTTGGGGGAGGCCTCCCCCTCCCCGAAGGACAGCAGGTCCCTGGGGTCATGCACGCCGAGCCCTGAGGCCGGCCCCGAAGCTGATGAGTGTTCCCTTCCCGCAGGCGGGCAGCGGAAATGAGCACTAGTCCATTTCCGGTCTGCATCTGAGTCGGTAAACTTGCTTCAAAGCGGGAAGCTAAAGGAAGGGCTCCTCCTGATAGAAGCCGGCTGAGCTCAAGTTGCAGAGGGGTCTCCCCTCCCCCTGGGCTCCTCTGGCAGGGGCTGGGGCGGGCAGCCCCCTGTGAACGCGCCCTGGAGACGCCGGCACCTGCGCGGAGGCCACAGTCCCCTGCCGGGGCCTGCCTCCAGGCCTGCCCTGGAGGCCCTGAAACCAGGCCCCCTGAGATACAAGGAGCGTTCAGTCCCCTTGCGGAGGTTTTCTGCACAATCCAGGTGGGAATGTTGGACGCCACTCCGTTCCGCTCACTGCAGTGACTCCTCCGCGCCTAACGCTGAGAGGGACCCCAAAGACCCAACAATCGAAGAAAATCGCCCGCCGACTCACACGGGCAGAGGACTGCCACTCATGTGTCTTGTTCACAAGTTACCGGTTTTCCGTGTAAGGCGCTGCCCTCGGTTATCAGGGGGAAACAGCACTGATGGCTCCGAAGGCCTCTTCCTGCAGGTCCCAGGCATGGGGAGAGGTCTCGGCCAGCCAGAGCGCGGCCACTGTGCCCGAAAGGGCCCGTGACGAGGGAAGCGGGCCCGACACCGATGGTGGTGTCCACGCCGGCTGTCACCCCAGGGGTAGGTGCTCCTGGCACCTGACGAGCAGACGCCAAGCGTGCAGCCCGACAGCCTGAGGGGCACAGGGCGCCCACCCCGCAGCCACGAGGCCGGGAAGAGGGCTGCCCTGGCTGAGGCCGTGCACGCGGGAGGCTGGGGGGGCGGCCTCAGTCCAGCAACGCCCAAGGACCTGGTAGGCGCACGCATTCTGGGGGTGCGGCCCAGCGCCCACCCGGGCCCTCTGGGGGTCTCTGCTGCACACCCAGGGGGGCCCACGGTGGGGAGAGCGGCGGGAGCGGCACGACTGACCGTCTCGCTGGGTTCTCCCTCCTGCACTTCTCGAGAGCGTGGGCGATGAGGGCAGCGCCCCCGACCGCCTTGGGCGGCAGGAGGCCTGGTCCGCGCCAGGCGGCTGCCTGGACACGCGGGTTGCAGGCTGAGCGCTCGCGACCCTGACTTTCTGGTCGACTGGGGCGGCGAGTGTAGCCCCCACCTGGGCTGACTGCGGCCACTCGGTCGGTGGCTTGGAACTCCTCAGCCGCCCGCCGCACGGTGCCCACGCACCTCGTGGGGACCCTCTTTCCCCAGGGCCCATCTGCACTGGAATCAGCAGGCCTTCCTTCTGCCTGCCCTTGCCGTGGCAGCAGGCTGCCCCACCCGAGCGTGCAGATGGCTCTGGTGCTCCCCGCTGTGGCTCAGAGTGGGGCGTGCGCCCCAGGGGAACCTCGAGCAGGAGAGGAATCCACGGGCGCTGGGAGTCAGGGGCCGGGGGAGGGGCGTGGAGTGGGAGGGGGGCAGTGGGAAGAGAGGGGCGCTGGGGGATGAGAGGGGCACAGGACCAGGCCACCTGGAGTCTTGAGTCTCCAGGAAGCAAGGTTTCCATAGGAGTGTGGAAAAGCAATGATGTATGGAGTGAGACTTGGGGAGTTACAGGAAAACCCTTTCTTAACACTGAAAATATAAAACATATGAACTGCCTGCCAATCCCTCACTTAGCGTTCATATTTGATTTCTCAGGAAGACAGCTGTTGTTCCAGATTCACATTTGTGGGGTCAAGTGCGCTGAGCATCTCTTCACCACTGTCCTCAGGGACCAGCAGCTTTTATTACAGAAGCATGACAGAGGGTTGGCTTTGGTCAGTTTGCTGTGTTTATTGTGTTCCGCTAACAGGGAAGCTGACTTATGCTAAAGGAGGAACGGGCTGGCTGGTGGGGAAGCAGATGGCAGACCCGGCAGGATCAGGCCTCACAGAATCTCTGGAGTGGTCCCGGCGACTGGCCGGGCCTGGAGGACTGGCAGGCGCTCAGGGCTCTGAGATGGCTCAGCTCAGCCACAGCCCGATTAACATCAGTCTCAGTACCCTGAGGAGGAGGGGCGGCCAGTCTGACATTGCTCTCAATATCCTGAAAAGGAGGGGTGGGTGGTCTGACCTCAGTCTCAGTACCCTGAGGAGGAGGGGCAGCCGGTCTGACATTGCGCTCAGTACCCTGGAAAGGAGGGGCGGGAGGTCTGTCCTCAGTCTCAGTAACCTGGGAAGGAGGGGCGCACGGTCTGACCTCAGTCTCAGTACCCTGGAAAGGAGGGGCGGGCAGCCTGTCCTCAGTCTCAGTACCCTGGGAAGGAGGGGCGCACGGTCTGACCTCAGTCTCAGTACCCTGGAAAGGAGGGGCGGGCAGTCTGTCCTCAGTCTCAGTACCCTGGGAAGGAGGGGCGCACGGTCTGACCTCAGTCTCAGTACCCTGGGAAGGAGGGGCGCACGGTCTGACCTCAGTCTCAGTACCCTGGAAAGGAGGGGTGGGCGGCCTGTCCTCAGTCTCAGTACCCTGGGAAGGAGGGGCGGGTGGTCTGTCCTCAGTCTCAGTACCCTGGAAAGGAGGGGAGGGCGGTCTGTCCTCAGTCTCAGTACCCTGGGAAGGAGGGGCGGGCAGTCTGTCCTCAGTCTCAGTACCCTGGGAAGGAGGGGAGGGCAGTCTGTCCTCAGTCTCAGTACCCTGGGAAGGAGGGGCGCACGGTCTGACCTCAGTCTCAGTACCCTGAGAGGGAGGGGCGTGGTCTCCCTTGGCCCCGCCCCACCCTGGGGGAGTGGGTGGAGGAGGTGGCTCCGCACTGGGGTCTGGGCAGGGGCAGCTCCGGCTGTCCTGGCTGGGCCGCGCGTCCCCCACCCTGTGATGGCCAGGAAGGGCCCAGGGGCCACGGCAGCAGGAGACACAGCAGACGTGGCCGTGAGAACCTCGGAAAGGCCGGCAGGGGAGGTGCTAGGGCAGGTACAGCGTGACCGGGACCCGGGCAGCATGCGCAGACGCCTCGGGAGGCGGTGAGCTGCCGGAGCCGCTTACGGGAGGAAGCCCCTCACCCAGCTGGGAGACGTTGCTGAAGTAGATCAGCAGGGCGGACTTGAACTCCTCAAACACGATGATCTGCAGAGAGGCAGGGGTGCCCCTGAGACACACGCTGGCGGGGTGGGGCGAGCACGGCCCGGGGCGGGGAGAGGTGCAGAGCGGGAGGTCACCTCGTTTAACCCGGGCTTGAGCCAGGGTCCCGGGAGGTAGAGTGTTTCCTGGGGCCCGAGGCTCCAGTAGCGTCCCAGGTTCTGTCCATTGATGAAGACCACTCCTTTCGTCCAGCCCTGGAAGACATTGAAGCAGGGCTGCAAGACGCACACACACGACGCAGGCTGCGGCCTCAGCCACACTCAGCACGCAGGCCCGGCTGCGGCCCTCGAGAGGTAGTGGCCTGGAGACTCCGCTGTTGCCCCTGCCCGGCCTTGGCTCCTGCTCCGGGCCCCCAAGAGGGAGGCACTGGGTTCCAGCTCGCCTTCCATGCGCACCCACCTCAGGGCCCCACCACGTCCCCACTGCCGCCCACCCCCCACCCCCAGGACACAGGGTGGCAGGCAGCTTGGGCACGTTTCCTTGGCCTCCCTCCCCACCCTGAGTCAACACCAGACAGCCGTGGGGTGGCGAAGGTATCCTGGGACAGAAGCTTGGCTGGGGACACAGCCGGGAAGAACACCACTCACCCGCAGGCTCAAGAAGGTGTCCTTGGGTTGACTGCCAACTCTCAGGAGGGCAAGGAAGAATGCAGGGCCCTCAGCGTGGAGAAAGCTGGGCTTCCAGATGTTGGGAAGTTTCCTAGGGAGAGTCAGTCCAGTGGACAGGTTACACCCTCCTTGACGGCATGTCAGCTGTGCCTTCGGAGGGCTGTCTCCTCCCTGCTGAGTCCACTGTCCCCTCCAGTGGCCCATTTGGGATCCACAACACAGCAATGAGACAGTAGACCAAGGCCGGGGAGTGGGGGCAGTAACCACTCTGTCCTGGACAACTAGGAGACTTGGGGTCACTTTCTTCAGGGTTCTGGGTCTCTGCCTCTTGTGTGAACACAAAAATGTCTGGCTGGCTGGCCTCTGGTCTCCCCATCTGTGATCAGGCACCTAGAGCCAGTGGTTGGTCACCCACCTCTGTATGAATTTATTCTGCATCTCCAGGCTGTAGATTTTAAATTTTCTCAGTGGAGAACTGTTTAGATAGATGTTCCCAGTAAGACCTGCAGAAGAGAGGGGAGAGGACACCGAGGCAGGGCAGCTGCAGATAAATGCCCCTGGCCCTCTGAAGGAGAACGGAGGAGGTCAGGGGAGGCTGGGGAGGACGGAGGAGGCCAGGGAGAATGGAGGAGGCCAGGGGAGGATGGAGGAGGTCAGGGAGGACGGAGGAGGCCAGGGGAGGATGGAGGAGGTCAGGGGAGAGTGGAGGAGGTCAGGAGAGGGTGGAGGTGGTCAGGGGAGGATGGTGGAGGTCAGGGAGGATGGAGGAGGTCAGGGAGGATGGGGAGGATGGAGGAGGTCAGGGGAGAGTGGAGGAGGTCAGGGGAGGCTAAGGAGGACAGAGGAGGTCAGGGAGGATGGAGGAGGTTAGGGGAGGATGGGGAGGATGGAGGAGATTAAGGAGGATGGAGGAGGTCAGGGAGATTGGAGGAGGTCAGGGGAGGATGAGGAGAACGGAGGAGGATGGGGAGGCTGAAGGAGGCCAGGACAGAGGCATGGGCTCCAAGGAGGGACAATCAGCGAACCCAGGGCAGCACTTGGCCCACTTTCTTCTCCAAGGGTGTTTCTGCAGCCTCCTCCCGGAAGAGGCAGGGCACTCTGCGCACTCAGTGCTGGGAGAGCACCTTCGGGGGCACCGAGAGCAGGACGTGACCCTCCTCCCCTTGAAGCCCGCTCTGTCATGCTCCCGGGCAGGCCTCTCACTGACCGAGAGCCCCCGCCACTTCCAAACCGTGATCCCGGTCACGGCTGCCCGTGCTGGGGAAGCACCCCAGGAGTGGCCTGGCGCCTCCTCTGCCAGGGCGTACCTTTCCTCTCCTGGTTCATGCTGGTCCCGGAGGCAAGCCGTCCTTGGTTCTCCACCAGGATCCTCAGCGTCAGGAACTCCTTGTGATGCTGCCCAACACACACCAGCTGGGGGGGTGGCACTCAGGCCTCTTCTGGAGAGCACTGGGACCCCCCAAGACTGGGACGATCTCGGAAACTGGGGGCTGTCAGAGGGTGGGGCTTGGCACCCCAGACCTCAGCTCCGGGCCAGGCAAACCCTGACGCGCCTCCTCCACCCTCCTCCCATACTGGGCCTGCCGAGAAATGAAGAGTCATTGAACAGTCTACTGGAGACTCTTCTGAGGCTGGTGATCAACCCGGAGCTTTCTGAGCAGCCAACACCCAGGGTGGGACAGTCCTGCCCGCCCCCCGAGGAGCGCACGGCTCGGCCCTGCGGGGCCTCTGTGAGGAAGCCCAGGGCCCCAGGGGGCTGGAACTGAGCGGTATGTACGTCATTGTGAAGAGTCAGCCTTTGATGCGCGTCATCCAGGACTCCTATATACTTGTCATCCAGAAACACCTGCCAAAGAGAGTGGGCAAGACTGTGGGGTGCAGACAGGGCAGGAGGGGGTGAGGTGCCTGGGTCCCAGGGGAGGACTAAGTCTGCTTCCAGGAAGGCGACCAGCTAAGGCCGGTCCACAGAGAGGGGACACTGAAGGCAGCTTGGCCCAGGGGCGCGAGGAGAGCCCAGAGACCCTGCCGGGGCCCACGGGGACCAGGGGAGGGGGCGGAGGTGGCGGACACCACGACGGACACGCCTTCAGGGCAGAGACGCCGTGACTGCGTCCCCACCCCCGACTGCCCACCGTGCGTGTCCGCCCCTCGAGCCCCGCGGGACACAGAAGGGCCCACAGAGGGCGCGGCAGCGGGGCTGAGTTAGGTCGCAACTTCCCGAGAGGAACTGACTAGGAGACCATACACATCAAAATCCACGAGATCCAATGCGTCAGTACCATGCAGAGCAAAGGATTCACATTTTACGCTTACTAAGGTCCCAAGAGGAGAGCTACAGGCTCGACAGTCCCTGCTCGAGTGACCACACTGAGTGACTAAGGGTCTCCCTGCAGCAGCGCTGGCCGTGGTGCACACATAGTCCCAGCCCGAAGACTCCAGCGGGGCTGAGGAGGACACAGCCGCCCTGCGCTCGCAGGCAGGAGGGGCTGTTCCCAGACCCAGGACCGCGACAGGAGAGCGGTGGGGAGCGCCTGGGAGTGGGGGCAGTCAGGACGGGACTCGCCCTCGGGAAGGAACTTGGGGGCCCCACGAGGTGGGGACAGTGAGCCCTCTGAGGCAGGAAGGTCAGGAACAGGGTCTGATGGCCGTGCCGCAGAATTCTAAGACCACGCGAGACAGCCTGGGTTTGCAAAGAGCAGCCAAGTGATGCGGCTCCACCAGGGACCCAGCAGACAAGGCGAGGGGGAGGCCCGGGTGGGGCGGCCACAGCTTGGGTGTGGGGCTGCGGCTGCAGTTCCTCTAAGAAGCTCACGATGGGTTTGGACATGATGAGTCTGGGAAGCCCGAGTGAAGACACGCATTCAGCAAACAGCAGGGAATGAGGGTCTGCAGCTAAAAGGTCACGATAAGTGCAGGGGGACACAGAGGCTGGGATGACGGGACCATGAGGGGCGGGAGGGGCCTGGAACAGCCCCTGCACGGGGCAGGCAGGAGGGGCCCCAGCGCCCAGAGCCCCTGTTTCCTGGGCGAGGTCACTGCACCTCTCTGCAGCTTCCTCACCGGTAACAGGTATCTTCGATGGGCGTTTCGAGAACTAAATGCACAGATCCGACCGCAACGCGCCAAGGAAACACCTGGGGTCTCTGTCTGAGGCACATGGGGGTGTCCAAGGCCCCTCCCGGTCCTCCTCCACGAGCAGCATTAAGGGCACTCAGGCTTCGGTGGCACCGCCCCCCCTCCTCCGGACACCCAGTACCTTACACCTGTGAGAGCAGTGGCTTACATATGAACACCAAGCAAGTCCCGAAAGGGACCAGAGGTAAGACACAGGGCGGCTTTCCACAGGTCAGGAAGAGGCTGGCCTGCTGTTCAGACGTTCAGCCACATGGCAGGGTCTCGCCAGCAGAGAAGGGCACCCTCTGCCCGCCCCCGCCCCTTACCTGGCCCCGATCCTTCACATGGCCATCCGAGTTTAGGACGCCTCCTCCGGTGATGACAGTTTCATAAAGTATGTACCCAGTAGACTGGCCGTTCCCTTGGTTCACGGACAGCTGCTCCATGGAGAGCGGCCCCATGGACCTCACGGGCTGCTGCAGAGACGGGAGCGGAAACCAGGCTGGGGGCGGCCTCATCACAGGCCAGGAAGCTCAGGGAACATGGGGCCAAGTGAGCCTCTGAGATGATGAGTCTGCGGCAGCCGCTCGACGCTCCGCTCTGCGGTGACCGAGAGGGGTGGGGGGGGTCCCCGAGGGAGGGGACAGATGCATTGGGCTCCCGCGTGGCTCAGAGATAAAGAACCTCCCACCGGCAGTGTGGGAGACTCAGGAGGTTCCATCTCTGGGTCAGGAAGATTCCCCAGAGGAGGAAATGGCAACCCACTCCACTACTCTTGCCTGGAAAATCCCACGGACACAGAAGTCTGACTGGCGGCAGTCCACGGGGGTCGCAAAGAGTCGGACACGATTGAGCGACTTAGCAACAATCTAGGTCTCCTAATCTGAACTGTAGGAGTAGAAGGGACTGAAACTGCGAAGACTGCTCTCTGTGCCCTGTGTTCATTCCCTCCCCCGCCGAGTCCTGAGCTCACGTCCATGCATAGGGCACTCACGTCATCCTGGTGAATCAGGGTGTCCCACAGGGATATGAAGTGACCTGCAGCCAGGGGCGCGTATGTGTCCTTAGGCTTGCAGTCTTCCTGCCGGAAGCTGGGAACCTCTGCGAACCACAAGCAGGAGGCTGGCTCCTTCCCAGCCCCGTCCAAGGGTGCAGTGCCCTCTGCTACCCCCGGCCAGCCTGCCCAGCACCACGGACGGACCACAGGGGCAGGGACCGAGGGGAGGGAGTCCTCCTGCACCCAGAGGCCTGGCCCATGCGCCCTGCTGTCCCGGAAATGGAGGCGGCCGGCACCTCGGCCTCCCCTGGGCCAGCCATCTCAGCCCTGCTGCTCAGAATCTCCTGAAAGCCAGCGGGGGAACACGCATGCTCAGATTCTGCCCCCTCTCCCCACTTCCACCCAGACACGTGCATCTCATGGCTCTGGGGAGGGCCTGGTCCTCTAGTTTCCACCGACGGCGGGGCTGGGGGGACCGTGTCTCATGCAGCCCGACTCCCCAGCCCCTGAGGATAAAACACGCTGGGGCGAGCTGGACTCGCCCAAAGACCACGTCTGCACCGCTCCCAGCCCCCCCGCCCCCCACAGCCCAGAGCCCTCTGGAGGGCAGGGAGGGTACCTGCATCAGGGTGAAAAAGCTTTTGGAATGTGAGATACTCGGGTGTATAGTCTCCATCCTCTGTCAGCAGTGCCCCATAGTCTGAGAATAGAAACAAATCTGTCACCTTCCCTAAAAGGTCCAGCCTCCGGAGGGACGTCAGCACTTGCTGCTGAGTCTGAGGGCCCTTCACACAGCTGCTCTGGGAGGGAGACCTTGAGGCAGGAAGGTGCCCAATGCCGGCTCCCCACGCTCCCCCGGGAGGGACAGATGGCAACCCCGGGGGTCAGAAGCCCAGGCTGGAGCCCATTGCAGGGACCTGGAGGTTGCCAACCAGACCCCTTCCCCTCTCTCACCCTCGCTGCCTGCTTGGTCTCTGAGCAGAGTCGCAGACTAGGGGAGACCTAGTCATCAACACCCAACACCCGGGATAGGGGGATCAAGGGAATGGGTTTCACAGTGAGCCCGGAAGAACAAAGGCTTGTGGAGTGAATCTGAGTCAGTTGAGCTAAGATGGATATACCTAGAGCCTGTTATAGAGAGTGAAGTAAGTCAGAAGGACAAAAATAGATATTATATGTTAACGCACAGATGTGGAACCTAGAGAGATGGTACCGATGAGCCTAGCCACAGGAGGAACAGAGATGCAGACGCAGAGAATAGCTGCGCAGGCGTCCAGGCGGGAAGTGGGCAGGCTGAGAGCCGCGTCTCCACAGGCACAGGACCGTGGGTAGGACCGTGGCTCATGGGAATGTGCGTCTCGCACTGGGAGCCCAGGCAGCACTGAGTGCCCACCTGGAGGGTGGATACCTGGGGCTGATTCACTGCTGGATGGCGGAAACCAACACAGCACTGAAAAGAAATCATCCGCCAAGGAAAGCTAAGGTTCTTACAAAGGCTGCACAGTGGATGGACAGAGCTAAGCTCCCAGCTTCTTTGCTTGCAAAGGCCCCGGCCGGAGACCGCAGAGGAGGGGTGGCTGCAGGCAGATGCACGGGACCCACTGGTACTTGCCGTAGCTGGTGACCATAGGGAGGCGATGGCCGCGGAACGCGGTCCCGCCCATGAAGCCGAAGTTGGTGCCACCATGGAACATGTAGAAGTTGAGGGAGAACCTGAGCTTCAGCATCTCCCGGGCTTCATGCATCAGCACTGCAGGGGGCGGGGGGGGGGAACATGCGACTCACTGTGCAAGTCCATAGTGTTTCGAGAAGCGCCCCACCCGTCCAGAGACCTGGCGGTGTACACCATCATCATGACCGGGCCAGGGCCCTGCGGAAGCAGAGCGTCCACGCGTTTGAGCCGGCTGGTCACCCGGCCCACCGCACCGCGGGCATCCTCATGGCCTCTCACTGCTCTCACAGTGCACGCCCGGCCTGGCCTGCCTCTCGTGGTCTCACTGTTCCTGCTTTGGAGAAATCAATGGCCGTGGCCACCTTAAGTTTCCAGAACAGCAGAATCTCTTCATTCCCTGGACCGACCCCAGGAGAGGTCTCGTAGGGAAGCACCTGACCCAGAGAAGTCAGTGAAGATGTCAAGAACCAACTGCCAACAATGCAAGCCCAGCGAGATTCCCACACAATCCCCGGCTCCTGCTCTGCCCTGGGCCAGCCCAAGGCCCGAGGTCGGAGGCCTTCCCCTGTCCCAGGCCTTCAGGACCTATGACCTCCACATTCAGGCTCACACTCCACAGTTAAAAGTCAACGCACTCCACAGTTAAAAGTCAACGCTGCTCCTTCGAGCTCTGAAAGTTAATGCAGCCTTGGAATGTCTGCTCTCAGCGCGGGGACCCCAGCCCCCAGCCCCCTGCAGCATTCACATTCCTGCCTAAGCTAATAAATGCTTCAAAGAAAGACAAAAAGAATTAAACTAACAAAACCACTGCCAACTTTGTGCACCACAAAATCACATGACCTTTTCATTAATTTCTGCCTGGCATCCTGTAATTTAACATTTTAAAAATATTCTACTGAATTCCAAAGATAATGTGCTCACTCCTTTAAGATTGACTCAAGCTTCCCAGGCGGTGCTAGAGGAAAAGAACCTGCCTGCCAAAGCTGGAGACACAGAAGTCATGGTTCGATCCATGGGTCAGGAGAATCCCTTGGAGGAGGGCATGGCAGCCCACTCCAGGGCTCTTGCCTGGAGAACCCCACGGACAGAGGAGCCTGGTGAGCCACAGAGTTGGACACGACTGGGCACACGCACACAAACGGAAGCTGTGCATCTTAAGTCCCTACAGCTTCCTTCCTCGCAGCCCCGCAGGACCCCACATTACAGATCCTCACTTCAGGAAGGGTCTGCTACATGGGGGCTCTAGCCATCACCTCATCCTTGGGCAGGCACTGCCCCCTGCAGACACCCTGCCTTTTCAGGTGATGGCAAATTCATCACCAGACAGTATATTCCATTTCTGGAGAATTCAGATTGTGAGAAAGTACAACCCATACATGCAGCCAATAAACGTTTTGTTATTCCCTTAACCCGCTGAAATTAATTCTGTTCCCTAGTACCAGAAAGAATTTCCCCTGCTCCGTGAAAATGCTCCAAAATTTTGTGAGATTCACTCACAATTCACTCCCAATTCCTTAATGTGAGATTCACTCCCAATTCCTTCTTTCACTTTTTTTTTTGGTAGAAACATCTATATTATATTCTTTCAACAAACTTCAATTAAGTGATTCAGTGCTGTTTACCACAAGCATCAGTGATGCATCCGAGACCTCGTTTACCCTGTCGGTAAGCCTGTGCTCTTTCTCCAGCTCCTCCCAGTTCCCCTGGCGACCCGCAGCCTCCGGCAGCCACTTTGCAGCTGTCCTGGGAGTCTGCTGCGTTCTTCCGGGGGCTGCGCACCGAAGTGGCGCCACGGGCGTTATTCGGCTCTCACTGTCTGGCTTATCTGTCCGGCTCAGTGCTGTCCAGGCTCATCCATGCGGTCACAAATGACAGATTGCCTCCTTTTTAAAAGCTGAATGTTTTCCACTAGATACACGTATCGTATTCTCTTCATCCGCTCATCCGTCCTTACCCACCGGGGCTGCTTCCACACCGTGGCTGCCGTGAGGCATGGTGCTGTGAAGAGGCAGCACACACAGCTCTTCAGGATGATAACACCTACGATAACACCTCCCTAAACACCTACAGAGGAGAGCGCTGCATCAGAAGCGGTTCTGTTTCCCCACGAACCTCCATACGGACTTCCATAGTGGCTAGGAAGAGTCGCTTCTTGGCTATGGTCTAGCAGGTCTTATGGGCACAATCCCCGTGAGCCTTCAGAGCTGGGTGTTTGAGAGCCCACCGTTCGGGTCGGAATCCAGGAGTTAGGCAGCAGGAGTGGCAAAGGCTGAGCTGGGAGTTGCCTGGCGCTGTGTCGGGGTGGAGTTCCCGGCAAGAGTGCGTCTCAGCCTCTCCAAACCACTCTGACGTGTGTTCTCATCCTTCTGCCCTGACCCTCTCCTCACCAGAGGAGTTCAGATGGCAGTGGTATAAAACAAGGAATGAGCATGGGATCTGGAGGCAGAAGGACTGGATTTGAACCTGGGTTATTCTGTTACATGATTGACCACAGATGATCTCAAAGCAGAAATTTTACCTTTCTGAATCATGGTTTCCTCATAGGCAAGATAAGGATAGGACCAATAGCTTCTTACATGGTAATGTAAGACACAAACATTAAAAATGGGGGGGGTATGTAAACTAAAAGTTGTATATATAAATATTATCATAGAATGTTTTCTTAGCTTGTGTTACAAGCTTTCTCCATATTTGACTTGTTTACCACCTGTCTCTTACCACTAAAATACAAGTTCCAAAAGTGGTGATTTTATAGGGTTCCTTCCCTGCTTTATCCACAATGCCTTGACAAATAAATACCTAACTGGCACATCTGCTGTCCTTGTTTAGTTGCTAAGTCATGTCCAACTCTTTTGTGACTCCATGGACTATAATCTCACCAGGATTCTCCAGGCAAGAAACTGGAACGGGCGGCCATTTCCTTCTCCAGGGGATCTTCCTGACCTAGGGATCAAACCCACAACTTCTCCTAGGCGCATAGATTCTTTACCACTGAGCCACCTGGGAAGCCCAGCTGGCTCACAGGAAGAAAGAAAGTGGGGTCCCTCAGTCGTGTCTGACTCTGCAACGCCATGGACTATAGCCGACCAGGCTCCTCTGTCCATGGGATTTTCCAGCAAGAGTACTGGAGTGGGTTGCCATGTCCTTCTCCAGGGGATCTTCCCAACCCAGAGATCGAACCCGGATCTGCATTGTAGGCAGACGCTTTAGCATCTGAGCCACCAGGGAAGAACTGGCACATAGCAAGTTCTAAAAACATTTACTGGCTGATTCATTTAATGAATAAATGGACTCAGTTTGAGGACTTTATTAATTATAATTAGGATATCATTTTTAACCCCCCACTTACTATCCCATATTCTTCCTCCACCACCACCATCACCATCACCACCACCACCACCACCATCACCACCACCACCACCACCACCACCATCACCACCACCACCACCATCATCACCACCACCACCATCACCACCATCACCATCATCATCACCACCACCACCATCACTATCACCACCACCACCATCATCATCACCACCATCACCATCCTCACCACCACCATCACCATCATATTCTACCTGAGTGTCTGCACTGCCCCAAGAGTTACATTCCCTCTCTATATTTTCTTGGGATGCACTGACTCCAGTCCTTGCAAATCTCTGTACTGCTTTTACCATTTCCCTTGTACCAGGGACCAACAGCCCTTGGTGTTGGTCCAGTTGTTAAGTCGCTGGATACTCAGCACTTTGTATCTTTGCATTCTTCTCTAAATCCTAGTTCTATCTTAGGTTGAAGGAGGACAGAATCGGGGAGATAACTATTTTTTTAGAATTCTAGGCACTGTCTTGTCTTGATGGAAATTAGGAGAGTGTTCCTTTCCTTCTAATACTGCAGAGCTCGGACAGGTGCAGAGTGGAGCATCCAGCCACTGATCTCTTTTGGTGGTAGAGATTTATGCACCCTCTGATTCCCCCTAATGCTTCTATTGGAACCAGCACTTCCTACTGAGTTCTGTTTATTTTTGTTTCTTGTCTTTCTCATTGAACCACAGGTAAATATGAATGAGGCTATTCATTCAAAGGGTAAAAACTTTTGCAAACTGACTTTAGGTCCATTTTGGTTTGCAAATCTCAATAAAAGTAGAATGTTACCCATATTATCAGGCAGATTGCTATGGCAAAAAGTGACATCTGGTTAGCAAATTGCACCTGGAGTGTAGAACAGTGACTGATGTATAAACTCCTAGTGGGTGTCCCGGCTTCCTGTGTGCAGGGTATCCCAAAACCTGAGGCTCTGTTGGCAGAGCCAGAAGCTCAGGCTATGGAGTCATGACCTGGGGCCCCAGCTGGTTCCTAGCTTTGCTCCCAAACTGTGATGGGGGGGAGTGGGGAGAGGGCCTAGCACCTGGACTGTGGGGAGAGAGTGTAGCCCCTGGACATGGAGGAAGCGTGGAGCCCCTGGGCTGTGGGGGGAGCATAGTGCCTGGACTGTGGGGAGACAGTGTAGCCCCTGGATGTGGGGAGAGAGAGCGTAGCCCCTGGACTGTGGGGGGAGCGGAGCCCCTGGATGTGGGGGGAGCGGAGCCCCTGGATGTGGGGGGAGCGGAGCCCCTGGGCTGTGGGGGGAGCAGAGCCCCTGGACAGAGAGGGAGCATAGCCCCTGGACATGGAGGGAGCAGAGCCCCTGGATGTGGGGGGAGCGGAGCCCCTGGACATGGAGGGAGCGGAGCCCCTGGATGTGGGGGGAGCGGAGCCCCTGGACTGTGGGGGGAGCGGAGCCCCTGGACATGGAGGGAGCGGAGCCCCTGGGCTGTGGGGGGAGCGGAGCCCCTGGATGTGGGGGGAGCGGAGCCCCTGGGCTGTGGGGGGAGCGGAGCCCCTGGACATAGAGGGAGCATAGCCCCTGGACATGGAGGGAGCGGAGCCCCTGGGCTGTGGGGGGAGCGGAGCCCCCGCCCTCGGTGGGGACTCTCAGCGCTGCGTGAGCCCGCGGCGCCATCCTGAGCCCTCCTCCGGGCTGGGGGCCAGGCCCTGTGGGCACTGTGACGCAATTGCACCTGAACCACCTACAGCAGGCCTTTCCAGCGCGTAACAGATCCAGGTTCTAACTGAACGAATCACAGCTGAGAAGTTCCTGAACATCTGAGCCCAGAAGGCCTCACATGAGAGGAAGGAGAACACCCCGCGCCTCTGACACGTCCTCACCTGAACGGAGGAGAGGTGTTCGTACGTGTCCTTCCTTATGCCCTTCATGTGGAGGGTGGCGAACACTGGAGGGAACGGAGACCCAGGCGGGGTTACCAGTGGGCGCAGCGCCGCCTCCGCCAGCAGCCAAGGCCCGCAGACACGCCCGCCACGCCCGCAGCCTGTGCCGGCGAAGACGGGCCGCGTGTGTCCACAGGGGCTCGACCAGCACCGCTCAGACACACTGCGCCCATCTGCTCAGCCTTCGCCGAGTGACCCGGAGAACAAGCAGGGCGGAGAGAGTGACCCCGTGTGCTGGTGGATAAAGAGCCAGCCGAGGTAGCCGAGCCCGGGGCGGGGCGCCCGGAGGCCTCGGGCCTGGCTGCCGGCCTCCCGGGCCCAGCGCAGGACACTGTCTCTCCCACCGTGCCCGGGAAGAGCGGGCGGAGGGCGAGGCCAGGGCCGGGCAGGCTAGGGAAGCCCGAAGCACCGCTCTCCAGCTCGTTCGCGTGCCTCCTCCTCCGTCCTGTGCGCCCACCGTGAGTCCCCCTGGAATTCTCCTGCACGTTTCCTCGTGGCTCTTATGCCCCGGACCCTTCGCCCCACGCTCTCCCGGGGCGGGTCTAGGGCAGGACTTTCTCTGGGAGACCCTGCCCTCTCCCGGGGGTTTGGGCCTGGCCCGGGGCAGTGGCAGAGACGCCTCCGCTGCGTCCCGGGGCCAGAGGCCAGCAGGGTGATGCGGGGCCGCGAGGGGGACCCTGCTCCCTCACGTCGGGGCCGCGTGCACCTGGACACGGCCCGGCCCGGGAAACGGGGCAAGGGAGCCTCAGCAGACCCTCAGACTCAGCCGGCGGCGGAGGCGGGCAAAGCCGCCGTGCGTACCGGTCGGCGTGTGTCCCTTCAGGAATCCCGGGCCCGTGTCCGCCGTCAGGAGCATCGTCTTGATCCCTCTGCTCAGCAGTGCCTGTGGGACGGTTGGGAAGGTGAACGGTGGCCCACGGCCCTGGGGGGGGTGCGTCCCCAGGAGAAGGCGAGGGTCCAGGCACCGGAATGAGGGGGCGGGAAGGAGGCCTCACTGGCGCCGTTGCTGGTAAGTTGTTCAATGAGAACAGCCAAAAGGGACTTAAATGCAACCATCAGCAATGACCTGGAATGGACACCGACCACATTCCAAAGACGAGAATTCTCATAATGGATTAAGGAAAACAAATTCTAACTATATGCAGAATATGTACCTGAAGTACGTGGATACAAAAAAATCCAAGATGAAAGGGTAGAAAAGCCCGTGTACTATACAAACACCAACCAAAAAAGATCTGTGATATCCACAGAAGGAAAAATTATTGTGACTCACTCTGCGCTTACATCAGAGTCACGCAGGTGTCGCAGGCCCCTGTCTGGGGGAACAGCGTGGAAACACCAGCTGCACTTCGTCACCTCATACATGTGCGGGGAGCAGCGCGACAGTAGTGTGTGACTTTGTCTTTTTGCTGCAACCGAGGCGTCCTCTGATTTCCCTTTGGTTTTCGAAAACTAAAACGCTGGACTGTTCGAAAGTCAACACTACAAACCCTTTAGAATAAATAACTTTTCTCTGTCCTATATGTTCAAATAAAAGACACAGGGAAGCCCCAATCTGGACACAGCATTGATTTATGAACTTCGAGGGCGCCGATTACAGAGCACACAGAGGAACACTTTGACACTTGAAAGTTTGTCCATTGCTAACAAATACTGCATCCCGAATGGTGCCTTGCAGGCTCTAGCTGCTCAGAATGTTTGCTCCATGAATCAGCAAAGTGAGAAAAGTATGTAAAGACGGAGGAGAATGAAAGGGCACTTACATTTTTAATATACGGCATGTATCCTTTATCCAGGTTATAGGAACCATATTCGTTCTCCATCTGCACGGCAATAATGGATCCCTCTTCGTGGAACTGGGGGGTCAAGGAGATGAGAGTCTGAGGATGAGTCAGCCGGCGGGGAAAGGCTGGACTGACTTTTTCAATTTGCTACCACACACACACGTTTAGAGTGCCATAGAAAATAACCTGCTCCTAAACTCAGCCCCAGGGACACGACAGTGGGGGCAGTTTCCGTCACTAAGTCAGCAGCTGCCTCGTGGGGTCAAAGCCTCCAGCACCTTGCCTTCCTCAGTGCCCCCAGGGAGCAGCGCCCGCCGACTCCCCTAATCTAACACCTTAAGTGGAGGCTTAGACCTCCGCCCAGCCTTCCTCTGGGGCACCAGGGAAACAGGGGTGTGGCCCTCTCCTACGTGGACGCGTGTCATTCCCCCTGGGGGACCCACTCTGCTTATGTCCCTGCACCCCCATCTTCACTTGCCCCGTCACCGCCACAGGGACCCCATACTCCCCTCCTGCACGGTCCCCCTTCGTGGACAAACAGTGCAGCCGCTCTGCACACCCCGCGACAGCCCACCACTCGTGACCCTGTCCTCACTGTGGTCTCATGGCCGCCCTTCCTATTCCACCCTGACCTTCTCTCTGCTAAACGGATGCAATCCCTTTTCATCCTGGTCTGATTTCTCTCCACCGACAGTCTCCTCCTCCGGGGAGCCCTCCCTTCTGCAGCATCCCTCCTGGGTCTTGCTCTCACCAGTCACCCCTCAGCCTCCTTGAGCTCCTCTAGCCCTGCTGCCTCCTCCCCAGTCCCAGGATTGTGTGTTAGGGTTAGGGTTAGGGTTTCTGCCCTCTCAGTTAAGGCCCTCAGGCAAATACCTCCTCCTTCCCCTCCCCTGCTGACTCCCTTCTGTGATGTTAACGAGCTCGGTGAGCCCTGCCTTTACAGCTCCTGCCAGCCCTGCGGTCGTGTTTCCTCTCTGAATCTTGCACCCGCCACGTCCTAGTCAGTTTCACTACACTCAGCTCTGCCCTTTTCAACCTGCTCTTGGAGACACATGGCCGCCGGAAGGTCTCCTCCTCCTCCACGCAGGACTAAGGAAAAGAGCATTGCTCCCTCAGAATGAAACGACACACAACAATGAAAGGAAGAAGCCAGGTAGCTCCCAGGACCATGTGCCAGTGGGTGGAAGTGTCTACACACCAATACCTGTGCTTCCTGTGACCCGGGAGGACCTGGTGGGGAGAGCTGAAACGGGGTAAGACTCGGGAAGCAGAGCGTAACCAGCTGCACTAGCGCTGAGTGGGCAGAAGAGAGCCTGAAAGAGCTCCCCAAACCTGTGTGCCTCCCCGGGGCTCAGTGGCAAAGAGTCTGCCTGCCAACGCAAGAGATGTGGATTCGATCCCTGGTCAGGAAGATCCCCTGCAATGGGAAATGGCAACCCACCCTAATGTTCTTGCCTGGAAGATCCCATGAACAGTGATGCCTGGCGGGCTATGATCCACAGGATTGCAAAAGAGTTGGGCATGACTTAGTGGCTGCGCAGCACACATAGGAACATGCCACGATACTGGCAGTCACCTGGTAGCTTATTGGTTAGGGTTCTAGGTTTTCACTACTGCGGCCCAGGTTCTACCCCCACTTGGGGACCCAAGACCCCACAAGCTGTGTGGCACAGCAGAAAATTAGTAAATACTTTTTAGGTGGCCTCCCTGGTGGCTCAAAGGATAAGACCCCCAGCTTTTGCGGCTCCAGGTTTTCTGCTCACCGGGCAACCTTCTGATTACTGATTTTGTCTTGCAGGCACTCCAAGATGGGGAATGTCCTGATTTGGGGTGCAGAGAGTGTGCCAGTTCGTGCTAGAACTTTCTTTGATGATGAAAATGTTTTGTGTTCTCACTGTCCAATGTGGTAGCAACCATCCACAGGTGGCTACCTAGCACTTGAACTGTGTCTGGTGTGAATGAAGAACTAAATTCTTTATTTAGTTTTAATAGATTTTAAGTGAATAGCCACCAGCGGCCAAGGTTACCACCCTGGCCAGCACAGCTCCAGGGCCGCAAAGGACCGTCCCTGCATCTCTGGTCCCCAGGTGCACACAGACCGGCCCTTCAGCCACCGTCACCTCGTCTGATGACCCCAGGGCATGCTCAGAGTCAGGAGCCAGCTCTGCCCCAAGTAGATCCACACGACCTGAAGCCTTGCCTGGCCATTTCCAGCCTGTGGCTAACCCTACAGTAGCATCCCTTTCCAGTGATTGCTGTGAAGATCAGATATGCTCCGCAAACACCAACTGCCTAATAAAAAGCTTGATGCGCGCGTGCCAAGTCACTCTTCACGCAGACCCCACGGACTGTAGCCTGCCAGGCTCCTCTGTCCATAGGGTTCTCCAGGCAAGAAGACTGGAGTGGGTTGCCATTTCCTCCTCCAGGGATCAAATCCAAGTCTCCTATGGCCCGTGCATTGCATGGGGATTCTTTACCACTCAGCCACCAGGGAAGCCCAATAGAAAGCTTGATACCTAATAGATACCTTTTGTTCCTTCCCTCTGTTCATTTGCTACCTACTTATACAGTCCTTCATGTATTTTCCAAGCCTTGCAGCAATATGGCGTTGTATTATTTCTACTCAAACAATGAACGTGTGTGACACCATGGTTTTATTGCAGGGGGAGAGACATTAAAAAAAAAAAAAATTGCAGTTTCTACAAAATTACTGACCTAAGGTCATCTGTATCACCTATCACTTGTGAAAGACTGACACATAGCCATCTTTAGCAGGAAAGTTAAGACATTCTGATGACTGTCATTAAATTCCCAATTATGGTGTTGGAGAGCAAACAGATAATGCAGAAGACATAAAAATATACAGAATGCAGTTCCCAGCATCCTGCCAGGAAACGGCATCCCCGTAAGACAGTAGATGAGGAACAGAAATAAAAGCAGAAAAAAGCATATTTCTTAAATAAGGAACTAGAATTCGCTGCTATACATGCTTCCTGCTTGTGAGTAAAAGAAAGTAGGCTGAGCCCTGCCTAGGAAGACAATTCAGGCAAGTATTTCCCTTGGTCACAAAGATGGGGAATCAGGTTTTACCTGTAATCCTCTAATCCTGGGAATCAGGTCATCAAAATAGTGATTCACTGCTGTTGTGAAGCCCTTGTAAGTTGTTCTCAGCTTCATATGAGAATCCTTGAGTAACCAGCTAGGATGGAAAAGACGAGACTCAGCCTTGAGGTGGGAGACAGCAAACAGAAATGTTCACGTGTCTGAGGCTGGAAAATGTGAACAGCACAGATTCACATGGCCAAACTGGAACAGCACATTGAGATGCTAACCCATCTTTAAGAAAAAGTAGCCTGTGTTCGGTCACACAGAGCTCAACACCTCAACCGCCACCTCTTCCCCCCAAATACAACTGAGGCTTGTTGGACGTGAAAGCAATCAGGGCAGGGCTGCCAAGCTGCAGCCCACAGGCCAAGTCAGAGCTGCTGACTGTTCCTGTGAGTAAAGTTTTATTGGCACATGGCCCACCCTTTGCTTCTCGTCATCACAGCTGTGGTCCTGCGGCAGCAGTAGAGACGAACCTTGCAACAGACACTGTCTGTGCCCCTGAAAGCTGAAAATATTGATCATCTGGCCTTTTTTAAAAGAAGATCGCCAATCCTTAGTCTGGTATGAGATTTTTATTAAAATGTTTCAGAACTTTTTAAAAAATATTTCTTAATGGAATATTATTTGCTCATTTAAAAATGAGGAATTGGTTCATGTTAGAGCATGTACAGACTTGGAAAACACGATGCCAAGGGAGGGGCTTCCCTGGCAGCCCAGTGGCGAGGGCTCTGTGCTGGGCTCAGTCACTAAAATCCCATACACTGTGTGGCACGGCAGGAAGAAAATTATGCCAAGAGAAAGAAGCCAGGCACACAGCCTCACATAAGATACAATTCCATTTATACGAAGTATACAGACTAGGCAAATCCACAGAAACCAAAAGGAGCGTAACGGTTGCCAGGGGCTGGGGTAAGCAGGATGGGGGTGCCTGGGCAACGTTTTGAGTAGCAAAAAACATGCAGGAAGGAGACAGTGGTGATGGTTGTTCAACATTTTAACACACCTGATGCCACAAAACAGCATGGTTTTCAATGGCCAATTTCATATTATGTACATTTTACTACCATTTAAAAGTGATAAGAAAAACCACCCTCTTTGAAAAGAGATAATCAATCCAATTTTGTGCTATTATTAGTATCATCACAAAAGTTAGAACTTATAAAGATACTGATCACATGATATTGATTAGCCAGTAGCTTCCATTAAGGAAAAGAATGATTCTACCTCTGCACTACAAGGATGAGATGGAGATTTATAAAAAACAAACAAACAAACGCTGTATCATTCCTGGTATTTTAAAGTGCATCTTCTAGGTCATGAAACGGGGAACTGGCAGGAGGCATGAACTAAAAGTGCAACCAGGAAACCAAGCGAAACTCTCTGCTCCGACTCGCTCGGGAACGGGCTTGGGGCGCCAGCACGCTCACCTGGGCAAGCCTCCGAGGTCCAAGTCGCTCCCGATGTAGGGGCCAACACACAGGATGACCCACAGGTCCACCTCTGACGCCAAGGATATGAAAGCCCTGGGGAGGGGGGCGACAGCAGCAGTCGCACCGAAAGCGGGGCCTGGAACCGCCGCCGTGTGTCTCCCCGAGGCCTCTTCTCCTGCGGTTAGGGCAGGTGGAACCAACTCCCAGCCTGCTCACAGAAGTCCCTGGAGGAGACAGGACCCAGGGACCAGGCCTCCTTCCACACAAAGGCCTCAGTCCAGACACCCCGAGGACAGAACTTGAACGACTCGCAGGAATCCCGGCCAGACACCGGCTGCCCCCTGGACCAGCGCTGAGCCTCCTGTCCCCACGAGGGCACCATCCAGGATGCGCCCTCACGAACCACGCTGGCTCCTCCTTCCTCATCTCCCACTTTCAGTCTGCCCCTAATCAGGTTTATTCCTTGCAGTTAATATTTCTGAATGTGAAATTCCTCTTAATTTTCACCACTACCACCCTGGGTAAGGAACTCGCGTCCACCTGAGTTATTCCAACAGCTTCCTCCCTCTGTCCTTCCCTTCCCTCTTCCGATGCCTCTCCAGGCACTGCGGGCCGAACATAATCATTGACGACAAACACAGGAGTACTGTGTACCGAGTATCATCATCAGCATTCAATACACTCAGTTCTGCAAGGGTATTCTTTTCTTTGTCAATTCTATGACATGGGTGTCAATGTCACCTCCATCTTACAGATAAGAAACAGACACTTAAGGAGTCAGAAGTCACATTCTTGGGAAACTGGAAGAGTTGAAAGACAATCCGCCTCCAGAAAAGAAATCTTAACTAAGTTATTCTGCTCTTAAAAATACCCACCAGCACGCAAACATGAACTTCCTGAATTTCCCGAATTAAAATTCTCCCAGCGACTTACTTCATAGCCCCTTCGGAACAGATTTCAAATTTTGCACCACAGCACCCAAAACGGGCCAAGATAAGCTTGACTATCTCTCCGGCTCTATTTTCTGATGTTTCCTCTACTCAGAACCAGCAGGAGAGTCAGATGGCGTTACTGCCGTTTCAGGAAAATATGAAGTTAGTCACAGGACCTGCGCCTCTCCTCCCTGGCACGTGCTCACCCACGCATCCTGCCGCCTCCATTTAGCCAGGCTGATCCCAAGCCACCAGGACAGAAGCAGAAGCAAGTGATACTGCTGCCAGAAACCCCCCTCCGCCTGCTTCCCGCTGCGGGCGCGGTGCGGTGCGGTGCGGGCGCGGTGCAATGCGGGCCAGCTAGCTATTTGCCTCCCTCTATAGATAACAGCCTTATTCCACAGCACAGCACATAGTCTGTGTATCTCCAGCATCAAAGACAGTTATGAACTACAGCGGATGGAATATACGTGGTTTTGAACAATTACTCTTTCTATATCATGTCTCAAAACTCGTACAAACTATAGTTCAGAAATTTCCTCTTATAAGTAAAACAGGGGATCCCCGCGATAGATTAGAGCAGCAGGGACGCTCTCTGAGCCACACGTGGGTGAAACATACACAGGACACTGAGGTCTGGGCTCCACCACTGACAACAGCCTCCCTGCACAAGGGGCTGCTGTCTGGGGAATGGAATTATCAGAGCTTCCGGGGGGTTCTCAAGGGGAAAGCAAGGTGACTCTTGCTTCATCTGACCCTACAGAGTCAAACCCCCATCTCTGAGCCAGAGAAACAGCAACTTAAACAGGAACCATACATCAAATCCAGGTTTCCACTATAGTGAAACTGGCCTCTTCTTGGTTCATGAAGGTTCCAAGGAACATGCCTGAAACAGAAAAAAGAGAAATGTAAAAACTTTATATTTTACAATTATATAATATTAGGTTATACAATATTATTCAAATGAATACAAAATGAAATCCAGCAACCAATAGTATAGCATTCACAATACCCAGTATATCCATTTAAAGTTTACTAGGTATGCCAAACTCACTCTCCAAAACAAACAAAGAAATCCAGAAAAATATGACACATAAGCCAGAAAAAAAAAATTGAGCAACAGAAATAAACCCAGAAATGACATATAGGTTGAAAGTGGCAAAAAAAAAAATATTAAAAAGGGATAAGAAACATATACCTTTAATAAGGTACACTTTATTAAACAAACATATACCTTCAATAAAACATATCTTTAATAAGTAAATAAAAGCATGACCATAATGAAGAAAATGGAAGATATAAAAAAGATCCCAAAGGAACTTCTAGATTTTAAAAAATATAATATCTGAAACCGAAAATACTCTAGATGCAATTAAGAGCAGGAAATGAAAAATATACCACTGATACTAACAACAGAATAGAAATAGGAATAGAATCCCAGGATGTTTTAAGACAGAGCAAAAGAAATTACCTAAACTGGAAAACAGGAAAAAACACTAAAAATTAAAATGAACAAAGCATCAGTAATGTGTGGGATCTAATCAAGAAGTTCAAGTCCCAGGGGAAAGGGGAGATAAAATTACTAGAAGAAATAGGAAGTTTTACCAAATTTTGATAAATTTATGAAAACTATAAACCTACAGGGAGAAGGCAGTGGCACCCCACTGCAGTACTCTCGCCTGGAAAATCGCATGGACGGAAGAGCCTGGTGGGCTGCAGTCCACGGGGTCGCGAAGAGTCGGACACGACTGAGTGACGTCACTTTCACTTTTCACTTTCATGCATTGGAGGAGAAAATGGCAACCCACTCCAGTGTTCCTGCCTGGAGAATCCTAGGGACGGGGGAGCCTGGTGGGCTGCCGTCTATGGGGTTGCACAGAGTCGGACACGACTGAAGCGACTCAGCAGCAGCAGCAGCAGGAGCATAAACCTACAGACCCAAGAATTGCAATGAACCACAAGTAGGAGGGAAGAAATCTACACCATAGTGCATCAGAAGCAAATAGATGAAAAGCAATGACAGATAAAAAGTCTTAAAAGCAACCAGAGAGAGGAAAACAAGAAATTACACAAATAATTTTTTAAAAAATAAAAGAAGTACAGAAGACTTGCCATCAGATAATGTGTAAATCAGAAGACAGCAAAGAGACATATTTAAGGTACTGAAAAGCAAGCCCCAAACAACAAAAAAAATCAGCCTAAAATTCTATACCCAGTGAAATTATCCCTCAAAGCTTAAGATGAAAGAGAAACATTTTTCAAAGAAATGAAATCTAAGATAATTCATGATCAACTGACTTCGGGAAGTCTCTCAGCAGAAGGAAATGATACCTGGTAGAAATAGTCATCTGTACAAAGGAATGAAGAGTATCAAAAAAGGTAAATATATGGAAAAATAAAAAAGATATTTTTGTCACCTTAAATTTATCTCAAATATAATTAGATGTTCAAACCAGGGAAAAAATGTATCATGAATTTCATAGTTTATAAAAATAAGACACGTGACACAGTACAGCAGAAAGAAGAGTGAGATATAAAGATGTAACGGTAAGACTCTGTCGTGCTAGCATGTTACTTTTAGAAGGGAGAACAAGTTAGAATTTAAGAATTTAGATAAAGAACTTTATATAAGAACTTAGGGAACAAATCCAAGATCCTTAAAAAAATGATTCAATATCCCACTTTTAACAATGGACACATCACCCAGACAGAAAATCAATAAGGAAAACTGGGCCCGAACTACACGTTAGACCAGAAGAACAGGTGTTGGTGTGGTTTTTGATGGAATTACACACAGCGATGGGAATGAACAAGCTAAAATATGGCAGATCATGGAGGAATCTCACAAACATGATCTTGAGCAGAAGATCAGACACCAGAGTAAAGACTGTACGATTCCAGGTGCATAAAGCTCAGAAGAGGTCAAAGTGATGTACATGTCGGAAACACAAGCTCCGCCACTCCTCTGCTGGGTGGTCTTGACTGTAGGCGACAGGAGAGCTTCTGAGACGCAGGCTCATGGCCAGGCTACAGGAGCACGTTCATGTGACTAAGCTCATGGAAGTCAATGCTTATATAATGGACACATGCCAAACTTCAATAAAATGCGACTATGAAAATGAATACAAGACGGCGATGAAGCCAGGCTTCAACAGTACGTGAGCCGTGAACTTCCAGATGTTCAAGCTGGATTTAGAAACGGCAGAGGAACCGGAGATCAAATTGCCAACATCCGCTGGATCATCAAAAAAACAAGAGCATTCCAGAAAAACATCTACTTCTGCTTTAATGACTCTGCCAAAGCCTTTCACTCTATGGATCACAACAAACTGTGGAAAATTCTTCCAGGAGGAGGCAGGAGGAGAAGGGGACGACAGAGGATGAAATAGTTGGATGGCATCACCGACTCGATGGACATGAGTTTGAGCAAGCTCTGGGAGCTGGTGATGGACAGGGAGGCCTGGCATGCTGCAGTCCATGGGGTCGCAAAGAGTCAGACATGACTGAGCGACTGAACTGATTACCAGTGAGAGTGTACTAGGTAACTTGGACCAAACATTCCACACCCTGTGCCCCGCCCCCCAGCCCTACAACACCTGACTGCTGAGCTTGGATTCAGGTCTCACCACCCCCTCTCCCAACACCCGCCATCTCTAGGGCTGGAATCTTCACCATTCTAGCTCTGGGGCTCCAGCTGGCCAACTGCAGATCCTGGGATTTCTCATTGCTGTATAAGCCAGTTCCTTATCTCACACACACACACACACACACACACAAACACACACACCTGCTGGTCCTGCTTCTCTGAGAAGGCTCCTAACACAGCTGACCACATTCATCCAGAGCAGATGGCCAGGGCTGAAGCCAGCTGCCGGAGCCAGGGCTGGCAGCAACACTTAATCTGTAAGTGACGGCTCACCGGAGGCTCCCTGTCAGTGCGCTTGAGAGTCAAAGCCTGCAGAAGCCCAGGGTTCTCGCTGTGAAGGACTAAGACAAATCCCTATCACTTCCCACGGGGCTAGGGGAGAGTGGGCATTTTAAAGCATGTCCAGGCTCTTCTCTCTTGACAAACGCCTGCCCTCAGCCAAGAGTACCATTGCCAGAGCTGCAGGGGACGTTCCCCAGATGACCACGGGGAGAAAGAGAAGCACGCAGAGCCGGCCTTTTGCGGTCAGCTCGGCGCAGAGACCCACCGAGGCTGACGGCACTTGGCCTCTGCCCTCCCCTCGCAGCGCGTCTACAGGCTCCCATAGAAGGGGTTTCAGCCAGAGGCGCTCTAGGATGCAGGCCCTGCTTAGGGGGAATCTCCAGGAAAAGCCAAAGGCGGCGGGGAGACAGCAGCAAGGACGCGAGAGGAGAAGTTCTTCTGAAACCAGTTACAGCAGCAAGCCCACAGGCCAGACAGACAGCACACCTCACACACAGTCCTGCTGCCCTGGGCCCTCTCGCCCACGCCAGCGTGCCCAGCTTTCTACAGAAAGCTGTAAGGCGAAAACAAAGACACCGCTGAGCAGGCAAAGCAGACGAGAACCAGGCTGTGACGTGGGAGATACGGTGGAATTACTAGACCGGGCATTTAAAACAACTCTGCCTCAGGTGCTAAACGAGGAAGTGGACAGCGGGCAAGGGGGGCGACATGAGCAGAGACGGAAACTCTAAGAATAAAAAGGGAGCATAGAGCACAAGGCGCTAGCGCCTGGATGGCTCAGCTGTCACAGAGCCACGGGAAGAAGGCGTGAGCTCAAGGCAGGACAGGCCCACCCTCCAAACTGAACTGCACAGAGGAGCGAACACGGAAGGAAGGAGGACAGCATCCGAGTTCTGCGGGACAGCCGGATGTGACAAGCGCCAGAGGAGATTCAAGGGAGAAGGGAAAGAAGAAACAGTCTGAGAAATAATGTCCCAACAACTTCCCAGGTGAAGGGCAGTTGTCAAACCACAGATCCAGGAAGCTCCGCAAACACAAAGCAGGACAAACACAAAGCAGGATAAACACGTTTAGAAACCTGTATGAAAGGATATCATAAACCAAAAGTGCTGTGATGGCATGAGAAGGAGTGGGCCCCAGGGTGCAACTGAAAGTGGGCTGGACCCAAACCCTGCCTCTGTGTCTTCAAAGCCTCGTGGAGACCCTCTGCCCTGGGGCAGAGCACTTGTGAATGTACAGTGACATTATCCCCCCGTGATTGAAGACCTATTCAAGACTGAAAGAAAGAAGAGTATGGCCCCTGGGAGTGAACGCTGGCTTCCTGCCCACAGGCTCCCTGCTCTGCCCAGCTACGTACCTGCTAAAATGCCCCAACCCTGTGCCAGCCCCACCCCGAGTTAGCCCCTGCTGCTGGTCCTGCCTCAGACACAACGCCCAAGCCAGAGCCTGCGCCTGCTCTTCCTAGACCCCTCAGGGTTCTCAGGCTGGACCCCCACCATACAGAAGACCCCCCAACGCCGCTTGCTGAGACAGGCACCACCCTGCTCTGTGCTCACACCCTCCTGAGTCAGCAGGTCTGACTGTCAGACTCCGGGTCTCTTCCTGCAATACTTTGGCTGATGACTGCTTGTCAGTGTCTGTCGCGCAGAGTGGAGAAAGTCAGAGAGAAAAATCAACATGGTCTATTAGCACATATATATGGAATCTAGAAGACTGAAACTGAGGGGCAGGGACAGACGAGAAGGGACTTGTGGGCATGGGGTTGCGGGGGGACAAGGAGAGTGTGGGACGGACAGAGAGACTGGGGTGGACATATTACAGTGAAGAAAGTGAAAGTGTCAGCCGCTCAGTCCTGTCCGACTCTTTTCGACCCCATGGACAGTAGCCTGCCAGGCTCCTCTGTCCATGGCATTCTCTTGGTGAGAATACTGGAGTGGGTTGCCATTCCCTTCTCCAGGAGATCTTCCTGACCCAGGGATGGAACCCAGGTCTCCCACATTGCAGGTAGATTCTTTACCATCCAAGCCACAAAAGAAGCCCCAATATATACATGACTATGTGTTAGACAGACAGCTAGTGGGCGGCGGCTGTCGAGCAGAGGCGGCTCCGCTCGGGGCTCTGTGATGACCGAGAGGGGTGGGGTGGGGGTGGGAGGGAGGCTAAAGAGGGAGGGGTGTGTGTGTACATATAGCTGATTCATGTTGTTGTGCAGCTGAAACCGACACAACATCATAAAGCAAACGTACTCTAACTAAAAAGGGGGGAGGGAGAGAGAGGGATGAACTGGGAGTTTGGGGTTAGTAGATGCAAACTATCACATTTAGAATAGATAAAAATAAGGTCCTACTCTATAGCACAGGGCTTCCCTGGTAGCTCAGTTGGTAAAGAACCCGCCTGCCATGCAGGAGACCCTGGTTCGATTCCTGGGTCGGGAAGATCCCCTGGAGGAGGGATGGGCTGCCCGCTCCAGTATTCTTGGGCTTCCCTGGTGGCTCAGCTGGTAAAGAATCCGCCNTATATATATATATATATATATGTAAAGACAGTGCAATCTTTTCTACAAAATTCATGCACTGTGCTGCTGCTTTATTCTGAGATAATGTTCTGCTTTGAGTGACTCAGAGTGTCTTATAGTTTATGAAACAATGGTGATAACTTTTATATTTTTAAACAAGGATACTAAAACAGACAAAACTTGGCAGTCTTATTTCAACCACAAACTTTGTAAGATTTTTACTAGTTCATGACATTTTTATGGAAGTCTCGCTGATTTCAGTAGTATATTATTTTCGGGTGTACAGCATAGTGAATCCCTGTTTTTACAGAATGTAACAGTTCATGAAGTTTCAATGTCTGAATCACTGCTATACAAAAGCAACAGCACAGTGACGAAACAAAGAAGGAAGATGATGTGATGTGTAAAAGGTTTTATGACAATTTTGGGGAAGATGCTTTAAAATCTCATTCCCCATCATTTGCCAAATTAAATTCCAAATATTTAAAATACAGGGTTTTTTGGGTTTTTTTCCCCCAACCTTACACTTTAAAAATCAAGTCACTGAAAAGGACACAAATAGAACTATCCAAACAATAATGGATGGGCACTTTCTAAGCTTAGAAGGTGGAAAAGAAATCCACCATGTTTGCTCTTTCTTTCTTTGCTTCAGTGAACTGAATGAGGATAATCACAGGACTCTCCAGGCTTGATTCTCAGTGAGACAGGGCTTTCCCTGGCACTCATCACTGGGCCGACTCTGACCACAGGGCAGCTCTCCAAGGAGGACTGGGGCCCGCTGCCTAGACCCCAGGACCAAGGGGACGCTGGGCTGCAGCCAGCTGGGACAGGAGACCGCGGTGTGCAGGCTGGAGCAAGCCTGCTGAGACAGACGGCCCCAGGAGCAGGCTCCACTCAACGGCGGGGCCCGGGAGCCCGAGACGCTGAGCAGAGCAGCCTGCACTCACGTGGTGACGGTGTTGAAGCCACAGGCCTTCAGCTTCAGGAGACTGTCCTTCCAGTAGTCCCGGGGCACACGGAAGTAGTGGATGGTGCCCGACAGGATGAGGAAAGGCGTGTTCCCCAGCGTGAAGTCGGAGCCCCTGACCTGCAGACCCACAAGCCTCTCACTGATGTGCGAGGGCCTCAGGAGAGCCTGGACCACGCTGCAGGGACACAGGAGGCGTGTGATGTCTCACAGCGGCGGGCCTGGCGCGAGGGCCTCTCCTCCAGGGCCCTGCCCTCAGACCTACCTCTCTGGGAGGCCTTCTTGCAACACGGACGTTACCAGGAACCTGGAAGTCAGGCTCAGGAGGCCCGCCAGCCTCACCAAGAACAAGAAGGCCTGCATTCTAGACAGACGGGACAGACAGAGGTCAGGGCCCCGGGCCGGGAAGGAGCGGCTGCCGGGTGAGGCCAGGCCTTGGAGGACAGGGGCAGGGGCGGGCAGGCCTGCACAGCTACCCCTGGATTCCAGACACGCCAAGGCCGGGTCTCCTGCCGGGAGGGAGGTGGGCTGCATAGACAGGCTTCTGCTGAACCATGAGGTCTTCAGACACCCCTGACTTTTTAGAGACGACCAAGCCTCCCTCAAGGAAGCTTTATAAACAAAGCCATCTCAGGTAATTTGCCAGAGACATTTTCCAGCTGAGTGACTCTCAGGGGACAGTGTCCAGCAGACAGCACCGGCTGGCCGGACCCCCGGGCTGGGTCATCTCCGCCCACCACCCCCAAGCCCTCCCCCACACGCGTGGCCCATGACATTCTTCAGGGAACAGGGGCCGCCGTGAGGGCCCGCCTAGCAATGAGGGGTGTCCTCGGGGACCTTGTTGGGGAGGGGGTCAGGGAGGTCGGGGAGGGTGGACCCAGCTTCAAGTGACAGACCCCAGACTCACAGTGCAGACGACCCCCGCCCTAGACCCGCGCCCCCAACAGGCGCGCAGGGGCGCGCAGAAGGAGAGGGAACCCAAAGCCGCCAGGGCCCCGCCCCGGGCCCCTCCTGGAGCTCCTGTAGACCGACGGCCCCCGCGGCGTCCCTCAGGACCCAAGCGATGCCCGAACTGCGGGGGACGCCGCGGCCGGTACCCGCCGGCCTCCCTCCGAAACCCGCCCCAGCGCCAGGACCCCTCCCCTCCTGCACGCTCTCCCCGGTTTGCACCCCGCCCCAGGACCCTGCGCGGTAGCGGCCGTCCCCTTGGCTCGTTCGCCGCACATCACTGCGCGAGGCTCTGAGAGCAGGAAGGTCCTTTCCTGGACTTGGGGTCCAGCCGGACCGCCTCTCAGGCCCGGCGACATCCCCGGGGCAGGCCAGGCTCTTGCCAGACCGACCCTGAAACCGCCAAGTCCCTGGCCGCGCCGGCTGACCCTCAAGCGCGGAGCTCTCCGGTCTCCAGACCCGCGGGACCTGCTCGGCGGGCTCCAGAGCAGAGCCGGGGGCGAGGGCCGGGGGGCGGGGCTGGGGCGGGGCTGGGGGCTCACCTGAGCGGCTCACCTGCGGGGGCCCGCCCCTCTCCCCGCGGGGCGACCGGCCTAGCTACCGCCCTCCCGGCTGGTCTGTGCTGATCCGGATTCAGGCCCTGAGAGCAGCTTTGTTGTTCAGTCGCTCAGCGTGCCCCTGCCGACCCTTTGGGACCCCACGGACTGCAGCACCCCAGGCCTCCCTGTCCGTCACCAACTCCCAGAGTTTACTCAAACTCATGTCCATTGAATAGGTGATGCCATCCAGCCATCTCATCCTGTGTCTTCCCTTTCTCCTCCCGCCTTCAATCTTCCCCAGCATCAGAGTCTTTTCCAATGAGTCAGTTCCTTGCATCAGGTGGCCAAAGTGTTGGAGTTTCAGCTTCAGCATCAGTCCTTCCAATGTATATTCAGGACTGATTTCTTTTAGGATGGACTTGCAGCCCAAGGGACTCTCAAGAGTCTTCTCCAACACCACAGTTCAAAAGCATCAATTCTTCGGTGCTCAGCTTTCTTTCATAGCCCAAGTTTCACATCCATACATGACTACCGGAAAAACCATACATATCTTTGACTAGATGGACCTTTGTTGTCAAAGTGATGTCTCTGCCTTTTAAAATGCTGTCTAGGCAGCCCTCAGATTGGGAGAAAATAATAGCAAATGAAGCAACAGACAAAGGATTAATCTCAAAAATATACAAGCAACTCCTCCAGCTCAACTCCAGAAAAATAAATGACCCAATCAAAAAANTAAGAAGGCCAGCGCCATGATGAGGGATCCTTGTCCCATGGAAAGTAACGCTTGCACTTCCTGCATCCTCTCCTGATGCCTCTGCCTGACCCCCGACTGTGCTCAAAGGCTCATGGTGGGGGAGGCCCGCAGCTGCCCTCTTGTCACCCTCCTCCACTTCCCTCCTCTGTCCCCAGTGTGTCCTATAATAAAATTGAAGAGATTAGGGTGGAAAAAAATAAAATAAAATGCTGTCTAGGTTGGTCATAGCTTTTTTTTTCCAAGGAGCAAGCATCTTTTAATTTCATGGCTGCAGTGATTTTGGAGCCCAAGAAAATAAAGTCATGTTTTCGTTTTCCCCCCATCTATTTGCCACGAACTGATGGGACCAGATGTCATGATCTTAGTTTTCTGCATGTTGAGCTTTAAGCCAGTTTTTCCCTCTCCTCTTTCACTTTCATCAAGAGGCTTTTTAGTTTTTCTTCACTTTCTACCATAATGGTGGTGTCATCTGCATATCTGAGGTTATTGATATTTCTCCCAGGAATCTTGATTCCAGCTTGTGCTTCATCCAGCCCAGCATTTTGAATGATGTACTCTACATATAAGTTACAAAAACAGGGTGACAGTACACAGTCTTGTTCCCAATTTGGAACCAGACTTCTTTCATGCCCCATTCTAACTGTTGCTTCTTGACCTGCATACAGATTTCTCAATAGGCCAGTAAGGTGGTCTGGTATTCCCATCTCTTTAAGAATGTTCCACAGTTTCTTGTGATTCACATAGTCAAAGGCTTTATGTAGTCAATGAAGCAGAAGTATATGTATTTCTGGAATCCTCTTGCTGAATTCTCTTGCTTTTTCTATGATCCAGTAGATGTTGGCAATTTAATCTCTGGTTCTTCTGCCTTTTCCAAATCCACTTGTATATCTGGAATTTCTTAGTTCACATACTGTTGAAGCCTGACTGGAAGGATTTTGAGCATTACCTTGCTAGCAAGTGAAATGAGCACAATTGTCCTGGAGTTGGAACATTCTTTGGCATTGCCTTTCTTTGGGATTGGAATGAAAACTGACCTTTTGCAGTCCTGTGGCCACTGCTGAGTTTTCCAAATGTGCTGGCATATTGAGTGAAGCACTTTAACCCATCATCTTTTAGGATTTGAAATAATTCAGCTGGAATTCCATCACCCCCACTAGCTTTGCTGGTAGTGAGGCTTCGCTAAACCGCTTACATGCAGCACACTGCTCCAGAAGTGAAAGCGAGTAAGCAGCTGTGAGCTCCGTGCAGGCTGCCGACAGAGTGGGTGCGGCTGTTTGCCCAGCTGTGCTCCTCCTGTGTCTCTGTGCACATTTCATGCCCATCACCTCATAGTCTGACTGCACGTTCCACCTCTGGGGACACGGAGGACTGACGGTGAGGCACCTGAGCACCTGTGGGCTTGGGTGTCTTAGGAGGTTCCAGAATCAGTCCCCCGATTCTGAAGGATGTGTGTCATTTGTTGTATGTGCTCCTGCAAAGCATCTATTGTTGCTTGTTGGGATATATCAAATGTTAATAGTTACTCACTTGATGTTGATCATAGCTCTTATTCAGGTTCTGCCATGTAAGGTCTAAACATCTTCTATGGCAGTAATTCTGTAGATTACTCTACAGTGCCTATGTTTTCTTCTAATGTTTCTGCAGCTTGTTTCTTCATTTAAATCTCTGGTTCATCAAGAATTTATGTTAATATAAGATTGAAAGGTAGACGAACCTTTCAGTTTTTCCCAAATGGCTAACAGATTTCTCCCAAATGTAATTCTTCCCTCATTAGTTTGCAAAGACCTTTATCATATATTAAATTCTCATATGATTTTATCTGCTTTTGATTCTGTATTTTATTCCACTTATTCCACTGGGTCTGTCTGACCAGATCCAACTTGCAAAAAGAACTTACACAGGGCCAGACACAGTTCTAAACTCACTACCTGTGAACTCATTTATCAGCTTTATCAGCTAGTGCTCTTTTTATCTTTATTTCACAGATTTAGGAACTCGGGCAGGAAATTCCCTGGCAGCCCAGTGGTTAGGACTGCTTGCTATCACTGCCAAAGGTGAGGGTTTGATCCTTGGTCAAGGGGCTTCCTTGGTGGCTCAGATGGTAAAGCGTCCGCCTGCGATGCGGGAGACCTGGGTTCGATCCCTGGGTTTGATCCCCTGGAGAAGGAAATGTCAACCCACTCCAGTATTCTTGCCTGGAAAATCCCATGGAAGGAGAAGCCTGGTGGGCTACAGTCCATGGGGTCGAAAAGAGTTGGACACGACTGAGCGACTTCACTTCACTAAGGAATAAAGATCCCAAAAGATGTACAGCACAATAAAGAAAAGAAGAAAGGAGCTGAGGCAGAGTGAGCTCAGGTAACTTCCCGAAGGTGACGCAGCAGTTAGCAGCAGACCCAGGTTTCAGTCCCTGCGACAGAGCTCCAAAGCCTGTGCCACTAACCTCTGGGCCAGGCAGCGTGTACTTTAACACTTCAACGAGTTTTGTTCGGAACTTACTTTGATGCAATATTGGCTCTAAGGATACTACCAGCAAATTCTCCCAAAGGTCAAAGAACAGAAAGGCTTACAGATCAAATTGGCTCAGATCACATGGTTTAATAAATAAATTTAAAACACAGAGTGAGAAGTGAGAGATGGAGTGGTAACACTCTTAGGATAGAGTGCCAGTGGACAGACGGACACTGCCGGAGACCTGCAAAGGTGTGGTTAGGAGCTCGCAGCCCCCCTCAGAAAGAAGCTGCCTGGCCAGAGTCACACACCACCCCCTCCCCGAGAGACGGCTGACAGCTGCAGCTCTCCGGTCAGTCTGCAGGGCAGCCACGGGACTCATCTGCGCTCTGCAGTCGAGGACCCTGTGGGCGGCATGAGCATCCCCAGTGGGCACAGGAGTTCGACCTCATGAGTCCCAAGGGCCTCGCAGGCTCATGGACACCTCGTATATTGCAGACTGTCAGGCCTATGCACAGGGCTGGGACTAGAGTGGGGTAAGCAGGTGCAGAAGTTAAGGAGGGATCATAATTATTCAGTCCAAGCTTGGTCCTTCCGTCCCTTTCTGTGTTCACAAGCGGGTGATCTACCTACATCACCCAAGTCTGACACGTCCCGCAGGGGGCTTGTCTATGCCTCACACATCTTACGAGTCTTATCCTTTCTATTTGCTTTCTACAGATCTGAATATTATTACAGAACACAGCATATTTCATAGCTCAAGTCTGTGACTTTGTTATTCTTTTTAAGGAGGCTTCCTGTTTATTCATGTGCTACTGCTGCCAAGTCGCTTCAGTCGTGTCCAACTCTGTGCGACCCCATAGACGGCAGCCCACCAGGCTCCCCCGTCCCTGGGATTCTCCAGGCAAGAACACTGGAGTGGGTTGCAGTTTCCTTCTCCAATGCATCAAAGTGAAAAGCAAAAGTGAAGTCGCTCAGTCGTATCCGACTCTTCGAGACCCCATGGACTGCAGCCCACCAGGCTCCTCCATCCATGGGATTTTCCAGGTGAGAATACTGGAGTGTGTTGCCATTGCCTTCTCTGATTCATATGCTACTCCAGATTAATTTTAGAATCACTTCATAGAGTTCATCAAGTTATAATTAGATCCCACTTAAACACAAGGTGTTTCAATTATCATTCACTATTTCACTTCGGGGGCCGGAAAAAATTAGAGAATTTTCCTTTCTGGACAATACTGTACTTTTACTTTTATTTATTCATTAAGTTAAAGAACATTTATTGAGAACCCACTGTATTCCAATATAGTAGCTTCCCCTATAGTGGCTCAGATGGTGAAGAGACTGCCTGCAATGCAGATCTGGGTTCAGTCCCTGGATTGGGAAGATCCCCTGGAGAAGGGAATGGCAACTCACCCCAACATTCTTGCCTGGAGAATTCCACGGACAGAGGAGCCTGGCGGGCTACAGTCCATGGGGTCACATACAGTTGGGCACGACTGAGTGACTAACACACACTCACTGTATTCCAAACACTGTCCTGTGTTACATAAGTAACTTCCATGAGATAAAAGTTATTTTTTAACATGCACCCCAATGTTCACTGCAGCTCTATCTACAACGGCCAGAACATGGAGGCAACCTAGACGTCCACTGACATGAATGGATAAAGAGGATGTGGTACATATATACAATAGAATATTGCTTCGCCGTAT